CATCTCAGGAGCTGGCTCCCCATCATCGTCAGACTCAGAATCCAAAGCCTCCATGACACCTGCTGTTATGACCCAGGTAGCCTGGGCAGAGGCAGGCATCAATGGAGTCCTTTATTGCTCTGATTAAATGCCACAACAACCGGCCCTACAATGGCCGGTAAGGCTCCACCCTACACTACCCAGAAGGCAGCCATCCTCAGTCTCCCAAACCAAAACCAGTAAACAACAAAGGAAGTCCAAAGAGAAGGTGCAAGCTCACAGGGCAAGGTCCAGAGTCCAGGTACAAAGGGCAAGGCAAGTCCACAGGGTAAGGCAGGTCGACAAGGCAAAAGGCAAGTCCACGAGGCAAAGCAAGTCCACGAGGCAAAAGGCAAGGCATAGTTTTTCCAAAGCTGGAGGAGTGTATGCCAAAGCAAACAATTATTCCAGAGAAAGACAATCTCCTCTGGCTTCTGCTTAATTCAACCCTCACCAGGTGTTTCGTGTGAGGAGGGGCAGGGTGACCTTCTCCTGAGCAGCAGAGCAGACATCCTTTGTGCTTGCCTCCACTCTACTCTCTGTGCCCTCAGATTGAGTGGGGGAGGCAGCTGTTCCTTATCAGAGGGGAATCTGCTGCCTCTCAACACTACTGCCTGTTTGCAGCCAATCCTCCCCCATGTCTGTGAGGGCAGGCAGCTGTCCGTCCAGTCAGCCACCTCCCCCAATGCCTGAAGGGCCTGGGACCATATCCAAAGATTCCAAGGGAGATGTGCCATCCCCATCGGACGGTCCTGGTTCCAACTCCTCCTCTGAACTGGGCTCCGATGGGGTCATGACACCTCCTGGCAGGCAACTCTTTGAGTGTGAAAGGGCTGTCCACCAGGAGGTAATCTCAGCCAGGAGGAAATCTCAGCTCCGCATGGAACTGAGATTCTCCTGTCCACACAGGCAGCCCTTTGAGAACAAATGAGCCGCCTGCTGAGGGGAAGGAAACTTCTCTGGCAGGCTGCAGGAAAAGTTTCTGCAGTCCTTTGAAAGAGTTCCCCTCCATGCACAGAGGGGAGGGGAAACTCCTCCGAAGGGCTGCAGGAACAGACTTGGGTTCTTCAGTAGTTCTCTTCCATGCACGGAGGGGAGACTAACTCCTCCGGTGGGGTGGAGAAACAGTTCAGATCCTGAAGATCCCAGCTCCATTGCTGCAGCCCACCAGAACAGTTCCCTTCTGTACACAGAGGGGAGCTGAACTCAGCAAGCAGCTATTTCATTCCATCTGTTGAACCTACGAGATCGCTTAATGGCTACAACTGGGATTGTGGTTGTTGAGCAAAGTAGTCATGTGGACATCTCACTTATGATCACTTTGCTCAGTGACTGAGATTCCAGTCACAACTGTGGTCATAAGTCATCAAACCCATAAACCACAAGTTTGTTTTTTCTTTTTTCAGCAAAAAGTCCATAAGGGGTTTCCAGTCACTAATAAATGTAATTATTGTACTTTCTATCATGAAACAAGTCAATTTTTCCATCTCTGCTAAATTCTGTCATCTTCACCAGCCATTCCTATGTTGTGGGTATTTTAAAGTCTTTCCATTTTTGTGCATATAGTAATCTTGAAGCAGTTACCAAATATGGAAATAATCTTCCATAACTCTTTTGTACTTCTCTGACCATTCGTCCCAACCAGAAAAGTTCAGGTTTCAACTGCATATTAATCTTTAAAATACTTTGTATCATTGTATATAACAGAATAACAGAGTTGGAAGGGACCTTCAAGGTCTTCTAGTCCAACCCCCTGCTCAGGCAGGAAGCCCTATACCATTTCAGACAAATTGTTGTCCAATATCTTCTTAAAAACTTCCAGTGCTGGAGCATTCAAAACTTTTGGAGGCAGGTTGTTCCACTGATTAATGGTTCTAACTGTCAGGAAATTTCTCCTTAGTTCTAGGTTGCTTCTCTCCTTGATTAGTTTCCATCCGTTGCTTCTTGCCCTGCCTTCAGGTGCTTTGGAGAATAGCTTGACTGCCTCTTCTTTGTGGCAACCCCTGAGATATTGGAACACTGCTATCATGTCACCCCTAGTCCTTCTTTTCATTAAACTAGACATACCCAATTCCAGCAACCGTTCTTTATATGTTTTAGCCTCCAGTCCCCTAATCATCTTTGTTGTTCTTCTCTGCACTCTTTCCAGAGTCTCAACATCTTTTTTATATTGTGGTGACCAAAACTGGAACAGTATTCCAAGTGTGGTCTTACTAAGGCTTTGTAAAGCGGTACTAATACTTCACGTGATCTTGATTCTATCTCTCTATTAATGCAGCCTAGGATTGCATTGGCTTTTTTGGCAGCTGCAGCACACTGCTGGCTTAAATTTAAGTGATTGTCTACTAGGACTCCAAGATCCCTCTCACAATTGCTACTATTGAGCAAGGTACCACCTATACTCTACCTGTGCATTTGGTTTTTCTTGCCTAAATGTAGAACCTTACTTTTTTCACCAGAGAATTTCATTGTGTTAGATAGGGCCCAATGTTAAAGTCTGTCAAGATCCTTCTGTATCTTAAGCCTATCTTCAGGAGTGTTGGCTATTCCTGCCAGCTTGGTGTCATCTGCAAATTTGATGAGTTTCCCATCTATCCCCTCATTCAAATCATTGATGAAGATGTTGAAGAGTACTAGGCCTAGACAGACCCTTGGGGTACCCCACTGCATACTTCCCTCCATGTAGATTCAGTTCCATTGAGGACTACACGCTGAGTACGGCCGGTCAGCCAGTTACAAATCCATCTGATGGTGATGCTGTCTAACCCACATTTTTCTATCTTATCAAGTAGTAGGTTGTGGTCTACTTTACTGCAGTCCAAATAAATTATATCCACAGCATTTCTCTGGTCTAATTTTGTCACTTTGTCAAAGATTGCAATAAGATTTGTCTGGCATGGTCTGTTTTTGACAAATCCGTGCTGGCTACTAGTTATAACTTTATTTGTTTATAGATGTTCACAGATCTGTTTTTTTATAGGTTGGACTGTTTTCTCCTTTTGTGTAAAGACAGATGCAAAAAACGAGTTAAATAGTTCTGCTTTCTCCCTGTTGCTTGTCATCTTGTTGCCATTTTCTCCCATTAATGAAGCAATCGTTTCCTTGACTTTTTTCTTGTTTTTTACATGTTGAAAGAAGCGTTTTTTGATATTTTTTACTTTTGTTGCAAGCCTTAGTTCATTTTGAGCCTTAGCTTTCCTGACTTCATTGCAGGCTTGGACTATTTGTTGATATTCTGCCTTAGTTATGTGCCCCTCTTTCCACTTTTTATACTTGTCCTTTTTGTCTTTCGATTTATCAGAGAGTTCTTTGTGCAGCCATGCTGGTTTCTTTTGAGAGCTGTTATTTTTCTTCTTCATTGGAATTGTGCTAAACTGGGCTTTTATAATCTCACTTTTCAAAATTTCCCAAGCTTCTTGGGTTGTTTTCCCCTTGAGGATTCTCATCCATGGAATCCTTCCCAAGTTCTCTCTATTTTTATTGAAATCAGCTCTCTTAAAGTCCAAGACTCTAGTTTGACTATGTTCTATTGCTTGTGTTTGCATAATGTTGAATTCCAATACTGCATGATCACTCTCCCTCCCAAGGTTCCTATAACCTCAACACCTTCTATAATTTGATCTCTTTTAGTAAGCATTAATTCCAATATGGCTGACCCCCTAATTCCCTTCTATACTTTTTGGGAGACAAAGTTGTCTGCTCGGTTTGTCAGGAACCTGTTTGATCTTCCACTTGGTGCAGAGTTTGTCTCCCAGTTGATGTCAGGGTAATTAAAGTCCCCCATTACTATTGTGATGTGCTTTCTACATACCTTAGTTAACTGACTAGCAAAACCTTCATCTATTTCCTCTATTTGGTTGGGTGGCCTATAATATACACCTATGGCAATGTCATTTTTTCCCCTTTTATATTGACCCAAATGCATTCAAGATGGTTTTCATCATTGTTCTGCTCTATTTCTGTAGAAATGTAGTTATTTCTTATATAGAGAGCAACTCCACCTCCTCTTTTATTTGGTCTGTTTCTTTTAAATAATTTAAATCCCTCTAGCTGAGTGTTCCATTTGTGGGTTTCATCCCACCAAGTTTCCGTAATGGCAACAATATCATATCTACCCTCATTACTTGAATTTCTAGTTCACCCTGTTTATTCCTCATACTGTGTGTGTTAATTTGTGCATTGATATATTTGAATCCAAAATTTTCTGGCTTTTTTGCAAGTTCACCAGGCTTGATAAAATGACCCTTCACATTTTCCACATTTCTAACATAAACTTGAAGTACCTTTATACATTCTAAATATTTTTTCTGGCGATATATACCAACAGCATACCACTTTACAAAAGTTCTCTTTCAAATTGTAGCATAATGTAAATTTCAGTCCTTTCGGCCACAAATTTTCCCATTATTCCATCAATGTATTATGTCCAAAATTCTTAGCCCATTTTATCATGCACTTTCACTTGTCCTTCCATTTCAAATTTCAAAAAAAGTATATATATTTTAGCAATTATATGTTCATCGTTTGTACACAGTTCAATTTCAAATTATGTCTTGTGCTGTTTAATTCCAAATGTCCAGATATCTACTTCAAATCATTCTCTTAACTGTGCACATGAAAACCATTGAAAACTAAATCCCTCCATTGTCAGTTTATCTCTTGATTTCATTTTACATTCTCTATGCTCTTGTTGTAACAGCTCTCTATATGTTAACCATCTCTCTTTGCCTGATGTTTCTTTTCTTTAAAATGTTTTTTGTGCTGAGACCCATAAAGTTATTTTGGGGTACAATCTGGGTTAATATCTAGTCCATATTTTCAATATAGCATTTCTAATATAGTGATTTTTAAAAGCTACATTAACCTTAACATTATTGAACCATAGAAAGCCATGCCATCCAAACCTCAGGTCATGCCTTGCAGTAACTTTTTTCTGTTTGTCAAGCCACTGTGATATGACTGTAAGTTATTAAACTATTTACCGTATTTGACAAAGCTACCCTGTCTTTGGGAACCACCAATGAAATATCAAAAGTTGCCTTGATGGCCGGCTCATCCCAGCAAGGAAAGGCCCTGCGAGCATCAGTGGCCTGCAAGAAAGAAAAGAGCAGCATGAAAAAGCCAAAACAGGCTAACTGAGACATTCTGACAGATCCATATAAGAACTATCATATTCAATATTCAAAAGGATACATATACATAAACAATCAAAAGGGGGGGAAAAGCATATTTTTAGCTTTGTAAAAAAGAAAATCAGAAGCAGAACTGCAAAATTGAAGAGAATTTTTAAGAAACCCAGGTTGCTACATCCAATTAATATTAACAGGCCAGGAAATTTACAAATCAAAGGATTTCATACCTCAAATTGGGTAACAGCAGCAAACCGCATATCTCCAGAAGGGGTGATGTATTTACTTCGATAAAATCCTTTCATTTTGTCATTCAGTTCTCCAACAAAATCTATCTTTAATGTTCCCATCCCTGTGTGATTTAAAAAAAGTACACAAGCATATGTATTATGATGCCTTACTGAAAAGATGCTAAACCCAGCATATTTAAGCAAAAGTAAAGTAAGAATATGGCAAATTCCAAAACTATGCAGACTCTGGGGCTCCGAATATTAGCTTGAATAATAGAGGACTGATAAGGGGTGTACAAAAGAAGAACAAAATGAGGATCAAGGAACAATAAATGAGTAAATGATAGGAGATTTGAAAGATTCATGAAAAGAAACTAATTATTTTAATTACAATTCCTTGAATACTTAACTACAAATTCACACACATAAGTTACATGCTTTTTATAGAGACCTGTTTGGAGTCTTTTAGAGCTCACAAAATAGTTTAGTGGGAATGCTGCTCCTCATGTGTACCACATAGCTAGGCACAGCTGTCAGTAATTAGTTCTTAAGACCAATACCACATACCTAAAGGAAAAATGAAGCTATGCAGAGAAGAAAGGCAGGTTACATAAAGGCAGATTACCATTGAAATAACTGCATTACAGGATAATAACCAGTTCTTTTTCTTTGTGGTCTTAATAATTCATATAAATGAGTGAAGCTTGTTAAAAGTGCCTTACCTGAGGAATGATCTAGTCATCATAAGTTGACTGAAGAGAGAGCAGTATCTTTCTGGAAGCAAACGTCTAGTATATAGTGTTGGATGAACATACAGTGCTGACCTTATATGGTTGCTCAGCCTAACTCCAATATGGGAAGCAGATCAGAAACGGGCATGGCAGTTTGGCCAACCTTGGGGGAGTGGTAGGCATCATGCTCTTTAGTGAGAACACAATGAAAATTCATAGAATAAAACAATATTTTCAATGGTGTTGAGGGGTTAGAAAAAAGGTGGCATGGGGATTCGAGAGAATGTTCAAGAATGACTTTGGAAGGAATTAAATATCTGGGACATGAGTACTTTGCTCCTATGAAAAGTACAGAAGGGTTTCTTCATAAGAATCTCCATAGATGTTTCTTCATAAGGCATTGAGTTTTCCAGCTCAATGAGCCACCGTAAAAGTTATCTCCCATAACAGAAGGTGAATCAGGGTGAAGATGTAGGCTAACAGAGTTCAGGTCATACTTTCTAATCTGCTAATGAAGAGGTTCATGATAACAGTGATGGCGAACCTTTTAGAGACTGAGTGCCCAAACTGCAACCCAAAACTCACTTATTTATCGCAAAGTGCCAACATGGCAATTTAATCTGAATACTGAGGTTTTAGTTTAGAAAAAACAACTCATACATTAACATCTTTTGTCTTAAAAGAAAAACACAATAACAGAGCTTTCAATGATACAAACAACTTTTTATTGAAAGGTAAAAGTTTGCATTTGGCATGCTTTTGAACAATTAATATGATTTTTGCTGTTGCATGCATACTGATAATTTGTCTAACCTTGGCTCATACTTTGTAAGTTTGAGAGCAACACATGCAGCACTTAGGTCATCTGTTAGTCTGTTTCTGGTGTCAGATTTGATATAATTCAAAGTTGAAAACAGCTGCTCACAAGCATAAGATGATCCAAACAAAGGAAGAAAAGCAATCCCAAGTGCTTTCATTGACTTAAAATTATTTGGCAGAGAATTCCACACTTTAAGGATTTCATTTTCAGAACTAACAGTGCTGTCCTTTGTCATCCCTTCTATCTTCTCAAGTGTTTCACGCAGGTCATAGAATGTGTAGCGCACATTTCCCATACACAGGAGGCGTGCAGACCTCTATCATCCATACAAGCTCTCATTTTCCCATTAGCAGGAGCCCAGGTTGGTTCCTATGGACAGCAGCCAATACAAAGTTCCCCCTGACAATCCCAGTACAATGAGTGCCATGTTTGTCCTGTCCTCTCATATAGTACACACACCAGCTTCTTCCTCACTGATGATATACCCATCATTACTTTGGGAAGGATACCACTAAACACATAATTAAGATCATTTAAACTTTCCTGGATCTGACTACTGAGAACAATAAAAATACCAAAAATATTGGCCATTTCAGTGTTGCTAAGGATGGAAGAAGGTAAGTGCTACAGTACTTCCAAATCACGCGGATTATATATAAAAAAATTTATTATTTTGAATTAAACAACAAATACAAATGATGCATCTACAAACACCACAAAAGAAAAAAGATTTTTACTCAAAATATTTCCGAATACTCCCGGCAGTCCCCGCCTTGCATCCACCCTTATCCACTTTCCCTCTCTTTCCTCCCCCTCACCCCACAGCCTCTCCTCTTTCCTCCTACCACTCTACATCCCTTTCGCCTTCTAACCACCACATCGAGTGCAATTTGGGGAACCTGCCGGGAATATCCTCTTATTATTACAATTCCATTATATACTTATAATTATTTACTACATCAGTTTATAATTTCCCCTTAAACCCCTCCCCTCCCCGACTTCCCAGAACTAAAACAGGATTCAA